GCAAACTGCTGCTTAGCGTGTGAACTTGGGAAGCCTGAAGCAGAAATCCATGTCCCGAGCAAGAGCTGTGTTGGTGCCCCTTGCAGTGCCCAAGGGCTCAGGCCAGCAGGCTGCACTGATTTGTTTTAGCTGAAAATACACAGCATGGGGGCTTTTTTATATTTTCCCCTTTGCCAGGTGGGGAAGCAAAACACAGGCACTATCTGCACAAACGCACAAGCCTCAATTATCCAAAGCACAGGGAACCAAATCTCTTTGTTACCGTGTTCAATACGTAGCCCACATTTTCAGTGCACTCTGCACAGCTCCTAAGCTCTGCAGCAGCCTGGCTAACAGCCTTCAAGAGGCCACACGACTCCCTATAACCGGGAGTCCAGGCTGTGCTCACCTGTCTCAAGGTTTCCATGGCAGCAGGATAACCAGAGCTAGGATGTGTCTGTAGAGCTACATGAACCTGGCAAACAAAACATAGAGGAAAATGTAGCTCAAATCCTGGGCTTTACTGATCTTGACATTGACCCTCTGCATGGAGTATATCTGTGTGCTGGAAGCCAGCTGAATGGTAAAAACATGCTACGACATCCCTTGGCAAAGCTTCCCCCAACCCAAAAAGTGGCTCAGCTTAACGGTGGGGGATCACATATGTCAACATAGTTCTGGTGATGAGGCCATTTAAGAAGCTGACAGCCTAAAGGAGACAAACGTGTAAAAGGTCATATTCTGACAGATAGAGGTGTGACCTAGCGGAAATGAAAGCCAGACCGGCTCCCTGAGACTCCTGGATCCTAGTCTGACACCAAGTCCCTCTGGGGTCTTCAGCAAGTTACTCCCGTATCTCACTTTCCCCACCTGTAAAATGGGAATAATAATAGTACCTGCTGCACAGGAGCGTTATGACGTTTAGTTTGTAAAGTGCTCTGAAGTGCGGAGGTGCTATGTAAGTTTGAAGTCTAATTAGTGTAAGCTCCATAGGTGAGCTTTTAAGCACATAGGCCCAGATCCTCAACAGTATTTAGGCACCAAATTCCCATTAAAATTACATCCAATTGTAACCAATGGGAGTTAGTTGCCTACATACCTTTAAGGATTTGATAACTCCCTGGGCCTGGTGATGACCACCCCCCACCACACACACAGCCCTGCTCACATGAAATAGCAAGAGGAGATTTAGGAAGTCACTAAAGGATAATCTCCATCCCAGCCAAAAGGAGGTGAGCAACACGAGAGATGGATATAGAATTGTCCTTTGAGCATAAGAGTGGGCCAAATCCAAGCCCATTAGTGTAACAGGGAGCTGCTCCACTGGCTTCCATGGGACTGTACCTGCTGCCACCAGAGCTGTACAGGTTGCAAAGTGTGCACAGAATAGGAAAGCGACTCCTGCAGGTAAACATGAGCCTACAGCTGTGTTAACATGAAACTGAGTGCTAAAGGAAGCCAATCCATTAAAAAAGGTACTGTGGATGCTATCCATGGTAACTCAGACATTACGGTGATAAGGGCCATAAAGGAGACAGATTTCAAGAGAGAATCTAGTGTGTATTTCTGCTCTTAGGATGAACACGGACATTTTCCCCCTTTTAGGGTAACATGGGTCAGTGCTGGTGAAATGTACAAACTTGACGGTCCCCGAGTCTGAAGCCCCTAGTCACCAAAACAGGCAGAGCATGGGCAGAGTTGTGCAGACACACTGTCCTACCCACATGCCTGCCTCCTAACCTGGAAAGAACATCTTCATAGATGAGTGGGTAATTAGCTAGCCCTGCTTGTTGCATCATTAGCCTCTCTCTGCTTCTAATTGCCCCATGGATAGCTTTCTGCTTAACGCTGGACTGAGACCTCCCACTTTCATACCGACCAGGGCACAGTCATCAGATGGGCAGGACATTTGAGGTCACTAATGAGCTAGGCTGGCTTCCATCCAGTGACCTGGTGATAAACAATTACGTGTCTCGTTGGTAGTGACTTACTCTTCATCCTCAGCTGGACACTGCCCTAAGGGGAGAACCATTCTGAATTTTGTTCAATGTGGATTGTTCTCTCAACTCCTGGAAAATGGAGATAATGATATTTTCCTCACTTTGAGATCTATGGACTATATCTACCATCTAGGCATTATTATTACTCAACTTGAGTAAAGGTATCAGAATCTGGTCCTAAATACATAAAACAAAAGCTGTAACATCCAAGCGAACAGGGAGGGATACAACATTGATATCAGTACACAGCATATCAGGCTCCCAAAAGATTTGCAAAGCAAAGATAGAGAAATATGCTTTCCACTCCCCTGCTTTCCCCCCAAAAATGTTATTGACACCCCCCCATCACCCTCCATAAATGTTCTTTGTTTACAAAGGTAACACTCCCAGATATGAGTTCGCTTCCCTGATACGTGAGACCGACCAGGACTGGGTGCCAGTAGTTTATCGATAAAGAACAACTTTGGTATGAAAAGGAGAAGCAGCAGTGCTTCTGGGGCTAGCCTGTGACACTGAACAGCACCCTGCACCAGGAGTCAACGGGACAGCTGAGTACAGCACTGCTTAGTGTAAGGGTATTGTAATCTGACCCTTCATTAGTATCCTCTGTCCCTTATGACCCTGAATGTTAAGGGACTTAAATATTGGCCATCACTGAGTGGGAAAATCGGCTCAGGTCTATGACTGACCATCGCTATTTCTGCCCTTTTCTTCTCTTCTTTTCCCATTCTTCTGTTCCTTTCTTTTTCCCCTTCCCTATATCACTTCTCCTTGGAATCTCTCCCCCTGCAGCAGATGCCTCTTCCCCACGCCATCTGGAGAATTAATCAGCACTGAAATAATTAACATTAAGGGCCAGATTGTCAAAGGTGCAGAGCACCCACATTCTAGTTGAAATCAATGAGAGCAGCAGGTACACAGCACTGACAAAAAGTCAGAGCTTGAAAGTGTTATCAGGAAGCTATAAAGTTGACACCGCAGTGAGGTAATGGGGTCAGGTGACTTCACACCTCACAGAACTATAGCTTCAGGAAGTCTGATGCCCTGGGGGGGAAAATCACTGCTTTAGTTTAGAGGCAGCCTATGTTTCTGAAAGTCCTTTGAAAGCGTAAGAACTAGAGTTAATTGTTTAAAGTGAAAGCTGAGAGTGAGCAGATCAGAAGCTGGTATGGAGGTCACATAACCGCATAAAGTGGGCTGGGTGGTTGAACCAGGTTTTATTAATCACTTTCACTACCTCCTCCAATGAAGGCCTGAGCCAAAGTCCTTTCAATCAACAGGACTCTTTCCTTTGCTATGTAATAATATGTGCAAGTGGGGGACCCCTGAGTTTGATGTGAAGTAGGTTTAGATAAATCCACTTTCTCCCCCAAATTTTTTTAAGGAGTTGATATACCTGTTAAAGTCTCCTGATTTCCAATAGGAAGATTGTATAGCTAAATACTGTATTGGGATTAAAAAAAAAAACACCAAACCAATTACTGGTCATTTTTTGTTTTGTAGATTAAAGTCTAACCCTGGAGGTTTTCCTTTCCTGGCAGATTTGGACAGCATGCAACTGCTCATTCAAGTGACATTCATAGGTCAGATAAGAGTAGCACATAGGCTGGGAGCACCTGCTTTGTCTTTTAGTCTCCCCCCCCCAACCCCCACACACACACACACAGTCACAGGAGTAAAGCCCAGTGCAGTTAGTTTGGAAACAAAGACGTGGAAATCCTCCAAAGAAAGCACTTTCTTGCGCTACCCAGCATTATTGAACCTCCCAGCAGCCCTGACAGCCTCGGTATTCTACCCCTCAGTTGCAAAAGAAGGAAACTGTTTATCTTAAAGTTATGTTGGAAGTTTGTGACCGGGCAGGCTCTGTAACACAGCTGTCCAGATTCACATAGCTGCACTTCCCTGCACAGGACCATCCTTCTACCTGGGAAGGTTCATTTAGGCCATTCCAAGATGAGCAGCACATGTTGAAGGGAGAGAGAGAGAGAATGCATCACTTCTAGCTGCCTCAAGTGAGCATCCCACCTTGTGACAGGCAAGATCGATTGCTGGAGTAGTCACACCCTTGCATTAGTCAAGAGTTCTCTATCTCAGTGCATTTAGAGCTGTTCTACACTAGGTTGGGAAGGGGAGAACTTTTCACACTGAGGTCTACAGACTATGGGTGCTCCATAGAGTACTGCTTCTCCTTATTTCCGGGGCATAAGATACAGCAATTTCTTCCATAAGAAAGTAATGTTTGCCTATGAGACCTTGAAGATGGATCCCCCACAGCAAGAGGGCCAGAAGCTCCAGTATAGAATCATGCTGATAGAAGTGCAAGGCGTAAGAGCCATATTTAAAAGCAATTTAATATTCTTAAGTGTTTTCCCCTTTTCCACCCCCTAATGTGGATTTTTTTTTTTTTAAAGCCAATTCCTCCAGGCAACCACTGGCTTTAAGTTACAAGACAGCTCATTAAATCTTTAAATTCAGAAGTCTAACACCTCTCACTACTTGGATTACCTTTTTGGACAGAGGAGGCAGCACAGAAAAAGGGGGAAGTTCAATGGTCCTTTAGACCCTACTTATCTAACAAGCAAACCCAAGAAGGAGCCAGGACTAGTTTGGAAGGGTTAACGCTCCAAAAGGCTTGACCAGTTGTAGTAGCGAATGAAAGCTTTAGTTGCTACATCCATGTAGTCTGCAGCAGAGCAGTTTAGGATTCCCATGAAGTGATTTGACAGCTAGCATGTCTGGAATACCAGTGACAGTCAGCATCCAGTTAGGACCCTCAGCCTAATGAGGTCATCTCAGGACTAGTCAAGTGACATTCTGGAAGAGGGTATAAACTCACTTCAGAAAGCAACATCTTAAGGTCAGTAGCTAATTTGATGAGCTGGAGACTCAACCATGCAAACAGTATTAAGTGTTGCCGGATCTACAGAGTTCAGTAGATATGGAGAAACAGTTAACATTAAATGTTACAAATCCAAATTGGCTACATTATTTGTAAATCTGGTATGAAAAGAAACTAGAAGCTTTTTAAATGTGTCAATTCACCTTTAATGTTTGAAAAATAAAAAGGTATTTGAGCAATTGCAGTTATGAAGGGAACATCTCTTGCTCCACAGAAGAGTGTGAACAGGTTCACATCAGACTCATGCTTGGAAAACAAACACACATTCTCCTTTTTAGATCAAAAGTGGAGTTCTGTATAGACAAAAGTCGCCAAAGTGCCCTGGTTAGTCCAAGGCACCTTACCCCCAGATTGGAAGTTTGTTGTCAACATGAAATAAATTATGACACCACATCTTGTCTAGTTACAACATGGTTCTATCAATATTACAAAGTTAGGTATACTTTGGATTTTGCACAGTCTACAGACACAAGGACTTTTACTTCAGGAAAAAGTCAGCCTGGGTCATTCAGTCATTTCACAATTAATAGCTACACTTTCTCCCCTCTCCCAATACAGCAAACAAAAAGCAGTGACATGTTACTTTCAACCATCAACTTGGTTCATCTCGAGAGTTAGGAGTCACCAGGCCCTAGAACAGAATTCACTCCATTCTAGAAATTCTGCCCATATTAACCATCAATCAATAAGCTCTTACTGCAAGCACCAAGTTTTGCAGAAGCCACCACAGGTGTTTTTGGAGGGTTATTTATTTTTTGGGGGGAGGGGGGACTGAAGGGGAGGGGACACCACCCTAGGATGATCCAGAAGAACCTTCTTGCAGTTTGAACTAGAAGTTACTACACACTAAGACAACACTGCTGACCCTATTGGAGAGAACGACATTCTGTCTTCAGAGAATATGTTCACGAGTTTCTCCTCACAAAACAGCTTCTGCTAAGAGAGGAGAGAGATTTGGAACACAGAAGCTATTCTTGGAGGATTTTCACTGTAGCTGATGGAGACAACAGTGGCCATCTTCAAGTCTTCCAGATGACTAGGTTACTTTAGGGAAAGACCTGAGTTAAGGCAGTGTTGTCTGGATAAAGACATGCCAAATCAAGTCTTTCAGATTCTGGTGTCAATCACTACATTTAAAATTTTCTAGTCCATTTTGGAACAGAGACCAGATGGCCTAAGAAAGTTAGTCTCAGTGGCAGCAACTAAGCTCTGGATCACCCCACCACGAACCAACTGAGGCCAGGAGATCCTTCCTCCTACAAAAAGTAATAATTTAGGGGGGGACATTTAATAAGTTTCAGACTAGATTAAGTTGCTGTGAGTTTAGTTGATCCGTGTAGGCTGATCTGAGGGCAGTGGTGTGGGCATTTCTAGAGAAAACATCAAGGCCCAGTTGTATGATTTGCCATGCAGTCCCAAGATGGGAATACACTTTTTGAATGAAAACCTTGTTAAAAAGCCTCCCGGCTAACTTACATGGGCATTATAAGGCCTTTCTCCCCACCAACTGCTGAGATGACCAGCGAAGCCAAATTGACACAGCTCCCACATCCACCCCACAGACTAAAACTGAAAAGGAAAGTTGACGTTCCTCCATTGATACACACACAGAAGTTTAAACAGTCTAACAAGAGTATTTACTATGAACTCAATAAGATCTCTTTTTGGTCTGCTAAACAAAAAGTGTTTTCCCCGCCTTGCCAAAGAAAAGGTTACCACTGGGGGAGCTGTTTGTGGAACAGTTTTATTTCTTCCCATTGAAAGGCCATTGTTTAAGCATTTACAGTTTTCCTAGTGCAATACAACCAAAAAAGAAAAGAAAAAAAAAAAAAAAGCAGTAACAAAAAATGCCGCCTTCTTCCCAGGCAACTAAACAGAAGTAGATTTTACTGCAACATATACACATTAAATATAGTATACAGTCCATGCAGCGGCACAGCCATGTTAAAGGGAATCTTGGCTTCAGCCATCAGTGCATTACAGTCCAAATTTCACTTGCTCCGACTTCCTATCCAGACTTGAACAGAAGAATTGCAACCTGACCCAAGTAAAAATAGATGAAGTGCTTTGTCTCATGTGTTACATAGCTGCCAAAATTTCTGCCAACAATGCAGTGCCAAGTAGGGTTGTATTTCTTGTCAAATTCCTAAAAGGGAGAGAGAGTACAGTAGTTAAGACCAAGAAAGCCCACATCAGAACAGTTTGAAGTATACTTTCATAACTGGTTACTGTTAGATACAAATGAAATGGAAATCTGAAGACAGAGGTGGATGCAAGATACTACTACCTTACTGATGTGCTAATTAGCAGGAGACAAAGGGGCTGCCCTGGAGTGCGGAAGAGGTCCCATGCCATGTACTTGAGTGATTTATACACAAGCTCCAGGCCATAACTGCAGATTTTAAAAGTCCCCTTGGTACAGTGGTATTCAAGCCACATGTGTAGGCCAGTTGTTCCACAAAACCATTTAAACCCTCCCATTCCAAGCCGACCTCCAGAAACAGTATTTTGGAATGAGTGTTCCAGCAAGCCGCTGGATCTTAAAGGTCACTTGGAAAAGGAAAAAAAGTCAGGCTTCAGGCAGTCTTCATAAAGCAGCAGAAGAGTTTGTGAGGAGACTTCCTAATTTAAACAAGCAGAAACATTCACATGTTGTCTGCCTTGGGAAGACATCGGCGAAGCTGAAAGCTAAACAAGTGAAGTAGTGTATCATTGGGATAAACAATTTAACCAATTTAGCAATTGGGAGGGAAGGGTTTCTGGTAAGGATTGAGAGCTCTCATCCCTTCAGTTAATATGGATCTCCCATGACCCAGTCCTCAGGCAAAACTAGGGAAATATCAGCCTCAACAGTCCCGATTTAAAGGAAAAAAATCAAAGTGAGAAAGCCTCAGACTATACACCAGAAAGCAGCAAGGCACCAAAAAAACCAGTTGAAGTCCTTTGCAAGTAACCTTTCTTCCATTAGCAGGGAATGTGCAGTAAGCCATTTCCTTTAGATCAGAAAAGGAAGCAAATATGCAACAAGCCATTTTTTTCCCCTGAGCTTTGGTTGTCTTAGGTTGTATTCCATTCCCTCGTTGCACTGTCCCAAGAGCCTTCTGGATTAGTCACTTTTTGACCTGGGAAGGCCAGATTTTAAGAAAATATAAAAGATATTCTCAACTTGTTGAGACCATCAAATTTCAACTTGAATTAGAGTTGAACAGAGTTAAGTAGTTTCAGGTCCCACATTGGGTCCCAATCCACCCTGCCTAGTTTGGGTTCTATAATAATATTTTCCTCTTGTTTCCCGCCCCTCGAGTGCTCTCTCTCTCCCTTGTTGCTGTGTGAAGGGCCTACACAAACAGGGGACACCAACTATGCACAAGATTCCATCAAATACATAAGGTGAATAAACTGAAAGATACTTTGATCAGTCAGTTCCTCTAATCTTCAGGGTTCCTCAGATAAATCCAGGTAAAGGGTTCAGACAGATGTGAGGTGTTTAAGTTGCATCATCCCTGCAGGCTGAGCACCCACAGCTCCAGTCACCTCAATTAGAGCTGGTGCTCAGAACTTCCAAAAACTCAGTGTTAAGAATATATCAACAGGTAGAAAAGCCTAGAAAAGGGGGGGGGGGGGGAAGTGGGAGTTTATTTAGTCTAGAAGTGCTAAGCAGAAGCAAGGAAGTTTCACTTGACTAGATGGGTTGGGGTTTTTTGTTTGTTTGTTTTGTTTTAACTACAGTAGCCACACAGTTTAAATCAAGTCACGCTTTCCAAAGATTCAGAAGATTGCAGAGAGAGAGCGCAACAATACATGAAGTTGCTACTTAAGGTAAACAGCAACCAAGTCCTTTTAGCTTGGCTAGCCAGAAAGAATGGTCCATTGGTTAAGGTGCTAGCCGAGAACTTGGAAAACCCAAGTTCAAGTCTCTCTCTACTTCAGACTGCCTGTGTGATCTTGACCACATCATAGAATCAGTCTCAGCTCCCATCGGAGAAACAGGGATAACAGCACTGCCCTACCTCACAGGGGTGTTGTGAACCATGCCGGTACTATGGTGATGAGGGTCAAATAAGTACTTAAGATGGTCAACATGTCCCAGCCATCCCTATGCCATTTTATAGCAGCTACACAATACCTTCTTTATATATGCTGCAATGTCTTTCTCTATGTTGTACTTCTCCATTGCCTGTGTAGCACAGTCTACAGCATCCTGCTGCATGTCCTCAGACATGTCTGCATTCTTGATCACAGCCTTTCTGTCAGACATTGTGAACCTAAGGCAGAACATAAAGTATTAAGATGTGCCCATAGGATTCTGCTACAGTTCTTTCATGCATTAGACTACATGGTCTACATAACTTAAAACAGTTCTGGATACAGTGTTCTGTATTTATATTGCAGGTTACACCAAACCCCTGTCTTGCCCAACATCTGGCTGTAGGCACACTACACAGTAATCCTAGGATATACTGGGGGGAGGGATAGCTCAGTGGTTTGAGCATTGGCCTGCTAAACCCAGGGTTGTGAGTTCAATCCTTGAGGGGGCCACTTAGGGATCTAGGGCAAAAAATCAGTACTTGGTCCTGCTAGTGAAGGCAGGGGGCTGGACTCGATGACCTTTCAAGGTCCCTTCCAGTTCTAGGAGATAGGATATCTCCATTAATTTATTTATTTAATTTATTAGGTTGTAGAATGCTGTAGTACAGGAAACCACTTGGCGATTAGACTAGAGACAGCCAAGGATCACCACCTGTACATACATTTTTAGCTTTAAAAACCCATAAATCCTATGCAGAGATCTTCTACTCCTTTAAATTACAGGAGCAGCAATGGCTAAAGATGGATTTCCTCGCAGGTATAGCCAATGGAGTGGAGCAGTAATATGGCTCTACCAACAGCAGCCCCCAGACTATGTTTGTCTCCACAGATTGTAGGTGAATGCGTTCAATGGATATAGTAGCAGAAGCATTTATTATTTCACTCAAGTGTGTACATTCCCTTTAAATGTAAGGGAAAGGGTCATACATTCAGCTGTTCTTGCTAGTTCAGACCAGAACGGAAGCAGTTTCAGATCTAGTTTACCTCCATGTGTCATGGATTCCCTTTTGTACTTTGCTCAGCTTGACCAATGAAACCTAAACAGTTTTGCTGGTCTCATGCACATCACAACATTGCAATATTGGGATGTTAGGGTTGCCAGTTCTGCTGTGGAATGATTCTTGTCTTGGATGGAAGTGAGCCTACCTGTGACCTTTTAAGAGCCTGAACTGTGGCATGTCTGACAGGGTGTTTAACCTCTTTCCCTCTGCTAAAACTAGTTAGGGAGTTCTACGCTACTCAGTGATGAGTCACCTATATGTAAGTAAGTCTCAGATCCCCTGCTCGGGGCACACCCACTAGTTGTAGCTAGTTTTATATGCCGTTTGTAGATCAGCTGAAAGTTACTATTTAACGTTTCAGTCCTTACTCGGCCAAAATGCCCACTAACAACAAACCTGTGAATTTTGCCTGAGCTAAGAGTGGACCTGTGTTGATTAGTACTTTTGATGTATGACCCATTTCAACTAGCACGTGAACAACATACAGCCACTTTAAACTCAGTTCTCCATTGTTATTTCGGTGGAACAAGTGGAGAATCAGGCATGATATCTGACCAGTTTAGGGCCTTCATTTGAAGGACTACACTAGTGAAGGGCAGCTGTCTAGGTGATGCCCATGGTTGCCGATTATCATATTTAGCTTTACCATAGGACTACCACAAAGTTACTTACGTTTTAAGGATGCCTTTTCACAGCAGAGAATGTGTCACATTAGGTTTGCAAAGCCACATTAAGTTTACGGTGCCATAACAAGACTTAGTAAATCTTGAGCTATTTTACTAGGCTGGCACTATATGTTTGGAGGTAGGGAACCCATACATGTTTAGCTCCATTAAGGAGAGAGTCTGCGACAATGATTGTTTCCTGGAGCAGTCCCAGAAAAACTGAAGGAGTAGCTTTGTTATAGCAACTAAAGGAGCCTGCTATCCAGAGAGAGAAAGAATCCAGTTACATAACAGCCCTATGACTACAATACTTCAATTCTTTATTCTGCCTGCAGTTGAAGACTCATAGTGCTCCCTAATTTATACATTTTAGATACCGTGTATAATTGCGCATTGCTATTATTAACACACACTAATAGCATTAAAGGAGGAGGATGGGAATTCATCCAGAATGCCAGGAAAGAGCACGTGCATTTGTAAGAGTTTTTAGGAAACCAGTCACAGGTGCCTTCCACCCCTCCAGATGATTGGGGTTTAAATCACTGTTTAGCAGGAGGGGGTAGATTTGGAGCTTCAAGTATGTCAACAACCACAAAGGAAAGCCCTAGAGAGACAGCCAAGCAGTGCACCCAGGACAAGCCACATGTGGCTGCTTGAAGAGTCAATTCAGAGGGCTTCTGTAATTACAGCACTCAGTGAGAGACCTGCAGAAAGTGTCTTCCTTCCTGGTCTTATTTAGAACAGGATTCTTGGGAGCACAGACAGGCCTGCCAAGCACTAGTTATGCCAGTGGTGCAACAGAAAACAACTCCTTTTTGCTTAAGTATGTAGATGTCTCCTCTCCCTCCCCCACCCGCCCCCTTTTGAGCCATGCTCCCCTCTCTCCTGGGGACAGCAGCCTTTTCACGACAGCAGCGCAGTGAGGCTGCTGCAACCACTGCCGTCTGGAAAGGGGAGGGTAGAAGCGGGAACAGGTAAGGGAGCAGCACGCCGAGCCACAGCACCAGAGGCCAAACATCATTCGCCTTGGCATTGCCAAGCGCAACTACTCCACCTGCAGATCAGAGCGACAGCTCCTCCCCTAGCCACAGGGCTGGGCCTTAACAATACCACGACACCTCTCATCCTCCTAGAAAGGGCCAGTGACAGCTCACTCCCTACTCAAGGAGGCTTGGCTGCTGGTGCATTTCCCAGGGGGGAGAAGCCACCAAAACAGGCCTCAAGAGAGACTGGCCCAGGCATAAATTGACACTGAAACTCCTGGGGAAGAAGTGGATACCAGAATTAATGCCACAGAGCAGGTAGAACATTTGCCCTTTCCTAGAAGGGAGGGAGGGAACCCTCCTCTTGACCCCCCTCCTCCTGAAACAGAGACCAGAGCCGTCTCCTACTAGCACAGGATTGGTCCCTACACCACCCTAGTGTATTTCCTCCTGGCCACTGTTAAGCTGTCCCAGGGGAGGAGGTTTCCGTGCAGTCCCCAGCAGGCCAAGGCACGCGGAGGTCTGGGGGAAGAGGTGTGACCTTCACTTCCCGAGCCCCCAGGGGAAGCGTCTAGCTCGGATCAGGAGGATGACCTTGCCTCGGAGAAGGCGGATCCTCGGCCTGGGCAGGCCGGGCCGAGGATGCAGCAGCAGCTGCACAAGTTCCCTGCTAAAAGCCATTGGGGGGGGCGGGCGGGCTGCACGGGAGCCCCATCAATGCACCATGTAAACGGGCAGCAAGCCGGCTCCGGCTCCGGGAAGGGGTAACTCCGAGGCTGCAGCAGGAGGGGGAGGAACCGGAGCAGCTCCCCGGCTCCTGCTGCTCCCAGGGGCAGAGCTGCCAGGTGAAGCCAGGAGCGGGTGCAGCCGCCCGCTGGAAGCTAGCGAGGGAAGGGGGGTGCAGCCCGCTTCGCTTCCCACGCTGCAGCCCCGGGCTGGGGGGGGGGAGCCGCCCCCTCCCCTGCTCGTGAATGCACCAGGCAAAATAATAATCATCATACACCCGCCCCCGCTCCCGCTCCCGGCTCACCTGCCCCGCGGGAGTCACCGGCAAACGGACCCGAAGCGCCTCCGCCGCGCACTCGCTCTCGCACCCGCACCCGCTCCGCTGCCGCCGTGTGCCCCGCTCTGCCCAGCGCTCGCTCTCCGCCCGGCCGCCTCCCCCGCGCTGAAATAGGCGCCCCTCCCCTTGCAGTGGCTCAGCCAGCCGCCCTCGCCATTGGCTGCGCCGCGGCCTCGGCCCACCGCGACAAGCGTTTTCCTCTCGCTCTGCTCTGCCTACATCTTGTTTCCTCCCACAATGCCACGAGCAGGCTGCGGAGCGCGCCTGGCTCACGAGGTGGAGGGGGTGGAACGGGGGGGGGGAGGAGAGGGAAGTAAATACGACTCAGGGATTGGGGTGGCCTGGACCTGGGGACCCTCCTGCAAAGGGGCTCGGCCAGATCTGCTTCCCTGTGGGAGCCTCGTGCCTTTGTGTGGGGGGTACCATCAGCAGATCTGTTGCTCATTCTGGGGCCTGACGCTGCTTCTGGCCCCAATGCAGTGTAAACCTCCCCGGACTGAAGTGGAGTCACTCTGGATCATAAACCGGCCAAGTGGCCCTTAGGTCAGTTTCAGAGTCACCTGTGTTGGACAGGCCAGCTGGGGTCCCCCTCTCACGTTGATTGCTGACAGTTATTGACATCAGAAAAAAAAGTTGAGGTGATGGCCAGAGTTATTTGCACTAAAGTAATGGACCCAACATCAATTTCCCTTTCCTGCACTGCTCAGTTTTTGGGAGTCCCTCATTTTGGGTCTTTGTCGCACACAGTCCCCATATTTGGACTTTGGATGCTCTGGATTTACACCGCTGTAGCCAGGAGCAAAATCTAAGCACTTGTCCTGAAGGCCTGATTCCAATTTAATTTACACCAACAGGTTTCATGCTGATGTGTCCCTGTGGATGTCAGTGGAGTTTTACTCCAGGATGAGCTCTCTTAAGTCCAATCACTGTGTCTGGCAAGGATATAGGGCCATTGCTTTACTCTGTGTTTGCTTATCTGGATGCATTCATAGTGCTTTGTGGTTTTATCATGGAGCAGTAGTGCTGCACGTCAACTTTGATGTGCTCTAATAATAGGAATATGCACTGGCTCATTGAGATCAGTATTGTATTGCTGGGTCTCTGAAAGATCCCAGGGCACTTTTTATCCAAGAAGGGATTTGCTGCAGTATCTTTGGCCATAGAAATCTACCCGCCTTACAGTGGCGTGCACTAGTCATCTGTGCTCTTCACCCCAGAAGTTGGTGCATTTCAATAGTGCCATATGTATACGGGATCTTATCCTGCAACTGGATCTACACATGTAGATCCCTGCACCTGCATATGCATATGCATCCCTGCATATAAAGGGTCATAATGTTCAGGGATCCACGCACATGGATCTGATTGCAGGATCGGGGCCATAGTTTGTAAAGTATTCTTGGGATGAAAGGCATTACATAAAAGTAAAAAGTGTTTTGCCAGTGTTAATTAATTGTAATGATACTGCACTCTTCTACAGTGCCTTCCGCCGGAGTGTATGACAGACATTAATTAATTAAGCCTCACAAAATGCTCCTGTGAGGTAGGTAGGCAGGCAGTATTACAGTGTCTCTCATTTACAGAAGAGGAAATTAAGGCACAGAGAGAGTGAGTGATTTGTCCAAGATCACACAGCATGTTAGCAGCGCCGCCAGGAATAGATCCTGTGTCTCTTAATGCCCCGTCATGTGACCCTCCTCCTTCCATTGACATTATATCAAAAGCCACTTGTAAGCACCTCAGATAGAAATGTACTATTGGTTGACACCCTGCAGTGACTCTGCAACAACACCTATTCAAAACCATACAATACACAAGGACAGTAGGAGAGGCAGGTTTGTGCTTTGTCCAATGGGTATGGCACAGCTCTAGGAGTCAGGATTCCATTTTTGGCTCTGATGCTGACTTACTGGGTGACCTTGGGCAAGTCACATCCATCTGTTTTCTCCTATGTAACCTGAGGATAATGATACCCTCCTTCATCAAGTGCTTTGGGAACTTATTTGTCTCGATGAGACTAAAAGGACCCCTCACCATATAAAAACCTGGTGAGGCCTTTGACCAAACTGAGGAGGACGGCTGTTTCTGGAGGTCTAGATATCAGTGGTGGCCAAGAGTGCTTCTCCAACTTCTCCTGACCATTCCTTGTCTTGTGGAGCTGGTGACAGGTTGGGGGAGGGGGTGTCTTGTGTGTAATAGTGAACTCGAATTTGCTTGGTGAACCCCATTTTGTTTCAGGGGTTCTACTCTGCATTGTAATCTTCATTATGCAGTGTGACCTTGATGTTGTATTGTAGCCTCTTTTGTGGATTCGAGCATCTGAGAAGCTGGAACAGAACAATCTAGCGCCATTAAAATTGAATGACTCTTCCCTTCTAGAACAATGGGTTTTCTACCAGAAGAGCTATTGACTTTGAATGATTCTCTGCACAGCAGCTGATGGGATAGGGGCTACAACCCAGAATTCCTCCATCTGAAGCACATAGGCCACAGGAGGAAAGACACATGCCAAAAGATCAAGCTAAGAAGAAGGAAGGCAGGAAGGGCTGCATCACCTCTGGTCACTGACTAAACCCAGGACTTACGGAGGGGTGAGATCAGATTTTGAGGGCTGCATTCAGGACTCTTTGCTATACAAAGATCTGTAACTCTCCAGTGTGCTTGGTTCAGAGTAAAGTGTCTGTGCTTAACAAATTTCTCTGTTAAGACTGTGTTCCTGTCTTTTCTGCTATGTTAATTGAGGTTAATTGAAAAACCAGAACTCCCACAGCCAGGTGGATTCTGGAAGAATGTGTCTGAGCAGCTCAGGAGGGCTAAAGCACTTGTTCCAGTGTTCAAGGTGGCTGGACTGCAGGGTTTCACTGCCCAAATAGGGGATCTGCACCTGGGAGACCCAGACCTAGAAACAGTGGCCAGTGACCATCAACTAGTGCAGAATGTAGTTGGCCCATTTTCTTAGCAGTGTTTTGCACGTGATGTACGTGTACTCTGTGATTGTACTGTGCAATTCAAGGTTATGGTGTTGATCTATAAAGCCATCTATTGTCTGGGTCCTGGGCATCACTACCTCTCTCTTTGTGCTTTAACCCATCAACTGAGATCAGCTGGGATACTGAAGCAGACAAGTCCTCAGATACATATCTTTACGGGTTAGAGGAAGTAGTGTTTGCAGTGCAAGGTCCTCAGCTCTGGAACTCATTTCCTAACTCAGTCTAAGAAAGCCATAGTTTGCTGGCCTTCTGGGCATATTTCACTCTCTCTCACTTTTCCTTTTTCATGCTGAAAGGAAAGGTCACTGTCTCCTAGCCCAGCAAAGATGGTAAGGAGGAAATAATGCCCTTTGCTACCTCCTACAGGAGCCTGTGTTTACCTTGGAGGTTTCCCATCCAAGTACTACCAGACTTAGCCCTGCTTAGCATGGGAAATCTGATAAGATCACAACTCTAGATGGTGCCGCTCCAGACAAGCGTCCCTCTCCCAAACAGGGACATGCCGCTTACAGCAGCTTCATCTCCAGTCACTACAGGACCTTCTGTATCCAGTTTGTAGCTGTTTAAACTTGGCTGTGGTGGCAGTAAACAGAAGAACCCTAAGACATTTCTGAACTAAAGGACATTTAAAGGAAGCAGGGATGAAATGAACATCCCCTAGCCAATGGCGACACCTTGAAAAGACAGACAGAGAGCACCCAGGTTAGTGAGGCCACTCTATCGGGGGGCAATGGAAATAATTACTTTTTCACACCCCTATATCCTCACAGAAGGTACAGGAATCCCATCTTTAGGTAAAAAGAGAGTAGTACAAAGGAACTGGGAACAATAAGACTATTAAATCCCAAGTTAGGAAGAAAACTCTCCATTCATCTCTAAATCAAGGTGAAGGGTTGTGTTGTTCCAATTTTATGTCAGGGTAACTCTGCTGCATGACTGGGCCTAGTTTCTTAAAATGGCTACGTTGGAGGCCTCCAACAAAGAAGGAAAAGGAGAGGAAGGTTGTGTTGGAATTCATCTCTTTGCCTCCTACACACCCGTAAATAAGATTTAGCAAGATGAAATGGTAGGGATAACTTGCATACATTGGCTGGGAGAGCAGCCTGGACTGTGATCAGTCATGTAACATACCTTTAACTATAGGCACATATGCGCCACATGAACAGCTGTTTAGTCTTTCCCGCCTGGGAATCCTGCCCTCAATAAATGTGCTCTCTATATATACCTGGTCTCTTGGCTGCCTACACATGTGCCCATCTGTCAGGATGGCATCACGCCGGTTTGAATTTTGGTTGCTCCATTTCACTTGCGCATAGGTGCCAAGAAGTCATGGGTTTAGATAAGCAGCCTATAAAAACACAGCAAGTGCCATCTCCTCCGCCACGCTGCTGCTACAACACACCCCCTTAAGCTCCATTGCATCCTTTGATGCCCAAGAATGGATCGGTGTGACGTTCATGAGCACATCTGGCTCGTAACAAGACAAATTTTAATTGCATGAAGGGCCTTGAGATCCATGGAGACCACTTGGGGTTCTGAAATCTATGGAACATGATAGTAGAGTTGCTTCTAGGAAGACAAGTCTAGGGCAGATAATGGCACCCAGGGGACAGACTGGAGTTCAATTCTCAAGTTGTACTCTTGCCTGAGAAGCAGCCAGCCAGTTGCTTCCCTTTTACTAATTAAGTGTATTATTTTCTGGAGTGATGATTGCAAGCAATGGGATGCCATTCACAACTAAAACAACAAATAAAATATGACTGAGGAAGCCAAAAAATCCAGCCACTCCAATGAATCAATGGGCAAAGTAAGGGAGAGATCATGGAAAATAGTCAAAGATTAACTGATTCCATTTTCGAGACCTTAGTTTGAGCCTTGACTACACGTACAGAACAGCCCCGGATGGTAGAAAGGCAGTGTGAACCAGTGGCCGGGGACCTGGTTTTGACAATGATTTGCTGTGTGGCCTCGAGCAAATCACTTACAGCCTGATTTTCAGGGATGCTGAGAACATACAGCTCCCATTAAGTCAAATGTTCAGCACCTTTGCAAATCAGACCACTAATGTCTCTGTGCTTCATTTTCCCTGTCCATACAAGGAGGCTAATGATCCTTGCTGACCTCCCTCATAGGGGTGTGTTGTGAGAGTCAGGTAGTGAGTAGTAGGCGACGGTGAAGATTTAAAGAGCCACATATCAAGTGCTCGGTATTGGTACTATTATCCAAAGGAAGGCTCTGTTCCCAGCCAGCTTTAGATGGAACTGCTCATTCACTGCTGCTTTGGAGGGGCACTGCATGTGAGACAGTCACTTAGATAACTCTGACCTGTAGGACAGGAAGATCAGGCCTCTTAATAATGATACCTAGCTCTCACAGAGCACTCTTCATCCATAGATCTCAGAGTGCTTTACAAAGGAGGTCAATATCATTATCCCCATTTTACAGATGGGGAAACTGAGGGACAGAGAAGTGAAATGACTTCCCCAATTTCACCCAGCTGGCCAGTGGCAGAAGCAGGAATAAGAACCTAGATCTTCTGAGTCCCCGTCCAGTGCTCTGTCACATTGGCCACACTGCCTCTTGTACGCTGGCACCCCTCTTCTCCCTCAGCACACTCCGTACAGTCAGGGTTGCTTCAGAAGCATTGGCTGACTTCTATAGACATAGAGGTGTAAGCAAGAGGCATGACTTGGTACTCAGCCCATACGTATAAAAAGTAAAAGCTGCTGTGGACTTCAGCGTAACAGCATCAGCTCTGACCCCTATGGCAAAAGCTTTGGGCCTGAGTCCCATTTGCACTAAGGTAGCACATAATTTAGGCCAAATATAAGGCCCCTTTACACTGCCAGAGTGGTGTAAATGGACATCAAGCCTCTTAAGCCTATGGAAGGCCCCGCGGAGACTGGCACAAATGAAGCAGAGTTATAAAAGAGAAAACGGTGGAGTAGGGAAGAGCTTCATATTTATTACTATTTATATTACTGTAGCACCTACATAAGAACGTCCATATTGGGTCAGACCAATGGTCCATCTAGCCCAGTATCCTGTCTTCTGACAGTGGCCAACACCAGGTGCTTCTGAGGGACTCAAAGCATTTTACAAACCTTAGTCTCATAACACTCTGGCGAGATAGGTAAGTAACTGGCTAGTGTATATGTGTACCATGGCCATCAACTAAGTGGAATCAGATCAGTTCAACTATGTATATCATAGTGGTTAATATTAGCTACTAATGGAGGGTCTCCTTTAGCTTACCTGGTAGGGAGTGACCTGTGCTTTTGGAGTCGAAGGATCAGATTTCAGTTCTAGTCCTGCTGTCACCAGGAGGTCCCACGTAATCATGATGTGCACTGTAGTGACAACCAGGAAGCTAGGAAGCAATAGTTCTGTAACAATATAATTGCAGAGGGGTAAATCAAGGCAGAGAATCAAAGCAATGTAGGGCTGGAAGGGACCTCAAGAGCTCATTTAGTTCAGCCCCTCGCCCTCCATGCTGAGAAGGAACCAAGTATATCTAGATCATCCCTGCATGGAGAGATGACACAAGTTTCATAGAGTCTAACGCCGGAAGGGATTGTTATGATTATTTAGTCTGACCTCCTGCATAACACAGGCCACAGAATTTCACTCAGGGATTCCTGTGACTTACCCACTCAGAAAGTCAGTGCCAGAGATGGACACACAGCACAGGAGCCCCCTTACCATTACTTCCTTGCTCTAGCCAAAAGAATGCACATATTCAATATCAATATATGCACACACACAATATCAATAAATTGATTTCAACAGGAATAGTATAAAACAAAGGGAAGGCAATACATGGGAGTGTCTCCGCTGCAGCTGGAGTTGTCCACTGGAAGGCTCTCAGAGGAATGAGGTGGCCTTAGCCAAGAACTGGTAATCTTGAAACAAGTAAAAAGTGACCAGGGAGGGAAATCACTTCACCTTCGTGCCCTTAATGAAACAGGACTTTTCTTCACACTGAGAAAATTACAATCTGCCTCGGCGCATGCAGGCCCATTATTACATCTGCACGTTGAACGTTGGGGGGAAATGAATTAAGGAAGAATCCCCGGCAACCGTTTTTGTGATAAGGTGGTCGCAAAAGTAGCTATTCTACACTGAACTCCTGCTTCCAGGATGTCCATGAATTCAAAAAAGGGGGAAGCTATCCAGGTGCCCACATCTTTTCACAGGTTCAGCAACCCTCCCCCGTCCACACACCTGACATCAATAGCAGCCATCTGGAAACAGTGCCTGAGGGAGGATGGAAGAGTGCCGCTCATACAAACCAGCTGAACTCTTGTCCCAAGGACGGAGGCACTGTCCTGCCGGAGATGCCGTTTGTCATATTAGAGATGAAACTCAGGTCCTCCTCAGCACTTGTGTGCATAAAGATCCCACCACACTTTTTTGCAAGTGTTAAGTCCTGCACCCTGGCCAGATTCTAGTTTGGGTTACCAACATTTCTAATTCCGACATCCTGGTCACTCTAATTACATCAGCTTCCCTAAGGTTCCTTGGGTGGAATCCTGGATCCATGGAAGTCAATGGCAAAATTCCCATTGATCTCAATGGGGTCAAGGTTTCACCTCTTTTTCAACTGAGGCAGCATGGTCTATTGCCGTGTTTCTCAATTGGTGGGGCGTGACCCTTGGGGGCGGGGTCTTGAAAGGCCATCAAGGGGGTCTCAAGGTGTAGAAAATTTTATTAGAGTCTCAAGCAAAAAAAATCTGGTTCCCCCATACCCCACACACCCTGACCCTTCCAGGTGAAGTAGTCTGTCAACTTCTCAAAACACGCACGTAAATAAATTACCACAGTCTGCTCGTTATCATTGATACATGTTTTTACTCTTAATTTTTACTTCAAATAGGCAGTTGCCAACCTGAAAAGGTTGGGAAACTCTGGCCTAGTGGATAGAGCACTGGAGTTGTTGTGTGACCATTCACATGTCACTTAACTTCACTCTTTTCTGTGGTTCTAGTCCCCTTCCTATCCTTTATCTGTCTTATCCATTCAGACTGTAAACTCTGTGGGGTAGGGACTGTCTTATTATGTATGCACAGCACCTTGCACAATGGGCCCTAATCGCAGTATTTTTCTTTTGCCCTTCCCTAGACTTTTGTGTGACGTGGTTTCCTAGATTCATAGATTCCAAGGCCAGAAGGGACCAAGTGAGATAGAGTCCAACCTACTGTATGACACAGGTCATAGGACTTCCCCAAAACAATTCCTAGAGCAGATCTTTTAGAAAAACGTCCAATCTTTATTTCAAAATTGCCAGTGATGGAGAATCCACCATGACCCTTGGTAAATTGCTACAGTGGTTAATTACCCTCATTGTTAAAAATTTGCGCCTTATTACCAGTCTGAATGCCACTGGATCATGTTCTGCCTTTCTCTGCTAGATTGAAGAGCCCATGATCAAATATTTGTTCTCTATGTAGGTACTAACAGACTGTAAAAGCTGTATGTCGCACAAAACAGTCTCCATTTTTCACCCCGAGATGTGGCTTCGTTCCAGGAGTAAAGTCGTTCCTGTAGTTTGGAAAACACTTTGCAATCCTTTGGTGTGACAGTAAGTTATAACAATTGGGTCAAAGTCTCCTCTGAGTTATATTGGCACAATTATCATCATTATGTATTTGCATTACAGAAATACTAATAAGAATACCTAGCTCTCATATTGCACTATCTATCAGCACATCTCAAAGTAGCAATGGTGCCCAAAAGCCTCAGGATCCTCCATCGTGCCAGGCACTGTATGAACACACAGGCAGGCAGGGTCCCTGACACACCAGTATAACTGAGAAGAGAATTCAGCCCTAAATTGTCCTAAAACTACATGCACCTTTGGTCATGAAAGCATGCAAAAGGATGGGTCCTAACTGAATCACAGGCTTTTGAATCTTGTATTTATTACAAGGAGGAACAATTCCTTGAAACATCACAGCCATGAAGATATATGAAGCCTGATTTGACGGACACTAGACTGAAAAGCTGGTTCACCTTTACTAACAGTTCCTATAGAGATGGGTTGTCTTATCATCACCTGTATTCTTAAAGAAGATATGTTCACTAGAAAGGGAGTCCAATAATCTTAGAAGACAATATCAGCAGGGAAGACTCATAGATCAGATTCCAAGCTGAAGAATTACTTCCTGCCAAGGAAACACTGTGTCCAAATTGCCCATCAATTAACTGACCCTCTGGAATAGATCTAGCCTAATTACAGGCATCTTTCAGAAATATGGAATTTCACACTATCCTTTTTATTAATTTGGCCAGTTTCTGCAGATTTGGCACCTCTCATTGGTCTTTACGTTGTGTATTATGCATTAAGGCTCTGATTCAGAAAAGTGCTCAAGCACATGATTAAAAGTTTCCTGCCTAGAGAGGGATGCTTTCCTAGATCATGGCCTAAATTATCGTCTGTTTATTATACTGCCTCAAGTCCACTCTTGAAAGCACTTTAGAGATATTAAAGGGTGATGGTCCCAACTGCAAAGAGCTTACAGTCTAAGGCTTTCATCCTGCCATGCGTTCCACATGTGGACAAGTGTCTGCCCAGGCAGAGCTCATTGTAGGATCGGGACCTACATAAATATGTGACATAACGAGGGACAATCAAGCAGAAGAGAAAGGGTAGGGAGGGAGGACACTGAAGTTACATGGTGCTGAATGTTCAGGACACAGCTTGATAAGGTTGGATTTATAAGAATGTAAATTTCAAAACACTGACTACACTTACGTTTTGGTTGGGTGGTGGGGAGTGGTACCAAGGGGAAGAGTTTAGAGGAGTGAAACAGCAGGGAAAAGGGAGGATGGAAAAAAGGAGATTGAGGATGGTCGGGGGAGGAAAAGAGAGGGAAGGGGAGGAAGAAGAGGAGTGTGGTGGGCAGGGTGGGTGAGGCTGGCAGCAGAGGTACTGTGGCAGCTATAGAGAAGCAGCTAGAGGTCAGAGCAAACAAAACCTAGTGTAAAGAATGCCCACAGGTCAAACAGTGGCATGCAGGTGATGATGTTAATTACAACAAAAAACTGCCCAGTCCGTTTATTATTATTTATTTGCCTTTTACCTCTGCGAATACTGAAAGCACCCACTGACCAATCCTATACTAAACTATTAATAAGATTTGGCCTCCATTGTGGTTATTTCACTCCTGAGTGGTTGATATTTAGCCCAGTAAAACACTGAACATACAAATCCTGGTCAGAAGTGGATTTCCTTGGTTGGGGAAAAGGCCTTTGCAAAATAAATGAACTCTATGCTGACGGACTCTCTGAAGAGAAGTCTCCATGTGGCCAGCCTTGCTTCAGTGTCATTTTGTAATGAGCCACCTTTTACTGTCTTAGGCTTCATTCTTCATCTATTCCCTCTGCTTTGCTCTTGTGACTAACTTTTCTGTATGTCAGGCTTGGCTATCGTAAAGCCATGTAAATATTTTAAACGTAAACCCACAGGCTGTCCCCATATCAATTCTGTTCTGTCTAAAGGAAATTTAGAGGTTGGCCTTATGGAAAATTGAACATTTGCTTGCAGACAGAGATGGAAAAGTACAGTGAAGTGTGGAGTCTCTTTATACTTGTGCTTCCTGGGGCAGCGCCTACTCCATTTTCATGTCCATATGAAGACGTGTAAGGCCTGTTCCACTGTAATATGATCTAAAAGTAATTTCCTTTTTTGCATGACTTATTGGTTGTCATATTAGCTGACCATGTAGCCATAACAAGAGCTAACTCCTCCTTCTCTGGTCCAGGCAGAAGAGAGCCATCAAAGCCATCAGGAGCTGGTGTGGAGGGAGAGCAGAAGTAATAGAGGGACTCCTGGGCAGCACTTCAAGGCTCCCGAGCATCTGTTAGTTTGTGGATCTACCAGTCCAGGCACTTCTTGTATAAGGTAATGCAGCCCCTGCAACGGTTAATCCCGTAGCCACATCCAGGTCGGCTGATGCTTCACAGTTTCAGAAAGAGGATTGCTTCTCCTTAACTGTGGAGGAGCATTTGTGATGGCTACCGTCTCGACTGACGTGGGGGATTGACCTGGGGGGCTGCAGAGCTAGAAGCATGAGTCTCTACAGCTTAAGCGAAAGAACCAGGCTAATTAGCTCTGGCACAGACTCACATCCTCTGTTGACTGGGCACCAATACTCACTAACCAGTGGGTTACACATACCTGTGTGCACAGTATTGGCCTCATTTGCTCCCTCCTTGGTGTCAGGTTGCAAGTGACCTGTCCTCTGTCTGCGGAGGGTTGGAAGCAGCTTCTTCTGGTGCCCATCGGCACTGCTCCCAGGCCTTGCCATAGAGAGCCATTTGTGTGCTAGGTGACAGTTCTCTCCTACCAACATCTTTGAGCGTGCTCAGCCCCGACCTGGCTGGAGAGCAAGGGGTGGGCACAATATCTTAACCCACAGAATGTTGAAGAGCACAGAAGACAGATGCCAGACATGCACCAGGTTAATGGCGTGCCACACTGGGCTGCCACTGGCAGGCCAATCTCCACAGGCCACTGTAATTTTGACAGCACAAATTTCAGGAGATGTTCTAAATCTTTTGTTCATGAATCTAAATCTGTGCAATAGCAGCACGTCTGGCACCCATGAATGGGTTACTTTGTGAAGACAATTGGCCACGTAACAGTGTTCTGACTACAGGGAATGATCAGCCAATGAGTGTGTGATCTGGGGATGATTTTCTCTGTATTGTCCCTATATCTGATGGGGCAGATAGCGTTCTGGAAGGAGGCTGAACTTTCCAGTAGCATCCTGTTCTTGATCAATCTCTATTAATAAAAGCAGTTATTATTTCTCTAATTTGCCTGTCGACTCTTTATATATATATATATATATATATTCCTAAATACAACATGAATATGGCATTGAGGTCAATGGGAGTCTTGGGTCAAGCCCTAAAACTTTCACTTTTGGGCTCCTCAGTGATTGTGTGTAGCCACTGGAATATGAAGGAAAAAAGGGTTTTATTCACTTTACATAACCATCTCTCTCAAGCACTATGTCTGAAACACAAGCAATCACATTCAGAGCTGCTGACAGTTATTTTTCTTCATTTAGAGACACCGCTGTCACTGATAATCATTGTTTTGTGTTTGATACGTTGAATGGAGAGCTTGACAGTTTTTGGTCTTCTTTTAAAGAGGAACAGCAAAGAAACAACTAAAACTGTTTAAAAGAGACACTCTCAGCTAGTTTAACCCCTGCATTTAGGTTCTATGGAGGGGGAAAGGTTTACAAAACCTAAACGCTTACAAATATATGTTTTTCTTTTCTATCCTTTTTTTTTTTTAAATGTATGCATTTGCCTTCCACGTTTGGGCCTGATTCTCCATTGCCAGGCACCTTGTAGAGTCATTTGCAACAAAGTAAAATGAATACCTCTCTGCACCAGACAGTTGTACTCCTTTAACTATTCCAGTATAGTTAATCTGTGCCACTTTGTTAGTATGGATGCAATTAGATAAGCATAAAGGCGCTTTATACTGGTCTGGCTATTCCCATATGGTAAGGGGAACAAACTATACTGGTATAAGGCACGAATATGCCAGTATAACTGCATCCACACTGTGGCCATGTCTAAACTAGACGCACTTTACTGGTATAGGTATACCAATAGACTATACTGGAAAAAATGCTCCTAATGTGGACATAGCTTATACCAGCAAAGTGCACTTAGGCTGTCTACACTACCAAGTGTAAACTGGCATAGCCCCCCTACCATAGCTGCAACGTATGTCAACAGAAGGAGCTTTTCTGCCAGTGTAGGAACATCACTTCCCAAATGAAATTAGCTATGACAACAGAAGCACGCTTAGGTTGGCATAACTGCTTTACACAGGGGGGGTTGTTGGTGTGGTTTTTACTGGTATAGCTGTGTCTACACTAGGGATTTCTGCTTGCGCAGCTATGTCGGTCAGAGCTCACACCTCTTCACCCCCCAGCTGACATATCTATGCTGGCAGAAGTGTGTCATGCAGACCTGGCCGAGAGTTTGTACCAGTTTAACTCTACCACTAAAAAAAAAAAAAAAAAGAACTCCCCCCTAACCAATA